GAAAATGTGTAAACAGAAATGTACACTCAGAAGAATTATTGCAAAATCATGGTCAGTGAGAGAGTGATTCTGCTTCAACATCATGTCTTCATGTTGGTCCGGCCGGAAGACCTTGGCCACATCACAGACAATGTCATCTCAGGCAAAAGGAAAATCGCTAAAGCAGATCCAGCCTTTAAAACATTCTCCACACCTTGCTCTGCTCTTTCTCATCCTCCTCCTCTTCCTCTTTGTTCACCACCTATTTCACATACTCTCCCTCTTATATTGTTACCATCCATTGTTTGTATCAACATTCAGTGCAACATTTTAAATCAATTTTGGAACTCTGAACTGACTTGTATTATGTGCAATTGGTTTGATCTCATCAATTAGAAATAAGTGAACAATTTTGAGTTGTTGTCTGTAAACGGGGTTAGTGTTTTAGCAATTCTGAAAAGTCTATTTTAAAACATTTGTAAAATATTACTGTATTTTTGTGTTACGAGTGCAGATCAAAAACCAAACACAAGCATATATAAATATAGAAAAGGTGGGGAATATGTGCAGATATAAATGTGACTCAATACAGTTTGTTGTCCATGATGAAGAGAGTAGCTATATCCGCCCTTCCTCCCTGGGTCCGTAGCACCCCTGGAAAAGCCAAAAAAAAAAAAAAAAAAAAAACACTCTGCAAAGTCTGCAAATGCAAAGTCTGATAAGCGTATAGAAGTAAACATTGGTAGGAAAATTATTTTTGTTATGTTTAATACATAATGTTGAACAGAGATGTCTGGCATACATGGAAAGGTGTTACAAAAGCATTTTAAAAAGTGCTCACAGTGAAATACCACATTTTAGTCTGAATCTCAAATATGTCGAAGAGATTAGCTTAATTAACATATTTAGATGTACTTTTGTTCATTAAAGATTGTATTTATTTAATTCCATAACAATACGTTTTAAAACTATATTACCCATGAGCCTCTATCGTTGTGTCACTGGGACGGGCGCTGTAAATTGTAGTTCATTGAAGTGTGTAGTTACACTACAGGGTTAGGGTTAGGATCTCGGTAAAGGTGTAATATCTTTTAATATAGCAATACCTCATTGTTAACTGGTAGTATTATTGACGTCATAACGACAGCAAAACATAGTTTGCGATATGGAGCGTTTTTTATTCTGACATAAACGTTAGTCCAACCACAGCTTGTCCTGCTGGCGCCATGGAAACGTCAAAACTACGTCACACTTGGCCATTTGGTGGTTCTTCCGACTTTTGATGTACGCAAATCCAGGATATTTATTTATTTTGTTGTTATGTTTCATTGAAAGAAATACGACTTAATTTCCATGATTATTTATGTATAATGTATTATTGTATAACGTAATAATAATATATGAGCGATCTTACAAAAATACAAACTCTTGATAGTTATTATAGCATTGTAGTATTTGTTTAACAGATGTAAATAAATCTCTTAATCAAATTCAAAAGGGACTAACAAAAACCCCTTCAATGGAAACTATATATAATCTAATAAGTAAATTGAAGCCATCATGTTCACCTTGAATGCCCACTACCTTGTAGTTCACCTTAGTTTTTCATGTGATGTGCCAAAATATATGAAGACGTTTCTTTAACCCCTTCCCTTTGAAGAACACATTGCCCCCAATATATATATATATATATATATATATATATATATATATATATATATATATATATATATACACACACACACATTTAGTTTTACATTATTCATTATTTTGCTGTGAAAAAAAGCAAGGCAAATATAAATAGGTAATTACAATAATAACAATTATGATTATAAATGTTAAAGGAATTAATATCTAATATTGTAATTGAATATTTCAAACACCACTACATTTAAGTGACATTTTAATATATTAAGGAGTATTCTGTTGTTTACCAAACAAATAGATCAAGTAGACTTACCTATACTAAAAAAAAATAAAAAAAAAATGTTATTATGTCAAACTCCCAACTGCACTAATTTTCTCCCTTATGATCTGTGCAGTTCATGAAAAAGGTTGTTTTTTAAACACCATTAAGCAAGTAAACACAAAAGAGACTGGGTATTGTGCAAAAAACTTTAATGAACAAAAGCAAGAAAAAAAAAATAAAAAGAATACAAAAAGAAGAAAAAATCTGCTTAAGTCCAGCTGACTAGGCTCACGACACATCATGCTGAAAGCTGGTTGGGATGTGGGGAATTAGGCATAAAATGTGCGAATTCACTGGCAGGCTCCCACGTATCATCCCAAGTTTTGCCACTGTAAAATATCATAAGTGCAAAAAAAAAAAATCATTAGAACACAGAGAAAACAAATCTAAATCACTGTTGGGTTCAATTTAGATAGTTCATCAAAATGTAAAAGTGTTTCAGATGCTGAAAGATTAATTTATGTATGCATGATAATACTTTTGTAATGCATTACCGAGTGGATGTCCTGCAGGCTCAATAAATAAGCTAGTTCAGAGCTAGAGCTAGCCACTAGAGTACTTACTAGAAACAGAAACCATGATAATTATAATAATAATTTTTACATGTATATAGCACTTACATGATCACATCAGGACCATTTTATTGTCCATACATTGGCTGTCTGTCAGCTAATTTTAGAACTATATTAATTACTTTAGAAAGTACGAATGTTTCAGCTCCTTGTTACCTACAATCCATTGTGTTAATAACACAATTCCAGGATATAAAAAAATAGAATATTCTAAATAAAAACAAGGAGGTAGATAATTCTCCCCTTGGTCTTAAAAATGATGGAATAGTCTTACGAGCATTTCAAATTCAGATATTTGTCTTAAGTCTGTACTAAGAGAGTGTGTCTGAATTTGGAATGCTATTCCATAGACTATATGAAGAAGACTATTCCATAATTTTTTCATCATTGGAATGCTTGTCCTAAAGGTTACTACCTCCCTAGGACCTACCTGAGGGATCTAGCACTTCTAAATGCCTCCACCTCATTGCTATTTGCTTCTGAGTACTGATAATCGACCTCACTCCAGTTTTTCAAAAGGCTACCTCGGAGGATGATTTACTGACGGGAACAACTACAGACCAGTGAGTTTTCTCTTGTCACAGAAAACACTGAAATGAACTTCCACGCTGCTTGCAAGACACCAGAACTTTTCCTACATCATATTAATCCTGGAATAGACTAATTTGCATTGCAACATGGAATTGAATAATTAATAAAACATGACTCACCACACAGTGCATGGCAACCAGTGGACTTTCAATTCAGCATTCCCCTACACACAAACATGAATAATAATAATTTTAACTGTTTAAGCAATCACGGAATAGGACATAACATGTTGTATTATCTTTGAAAGGTCCAAATCATTAATTTAGAAAACTAAGCAGCCTAACAGAACACATTTTACCTCATTTATCCGTTCCCCAGTTATTCGATCAAACTGGAAAACCTTCTGCCTACTACATTTTTGGCAACCTGAAATGATGAAAAGACAAGGAAAGTTTATTTAGCCATGATGCCATGATTTGTAGCGGAATCTGTCCAAATTTATAATTTCACATGCGAGGTGATATGCAGTCCTTTCCATTTAGGTCAAAGTAAATTCATCCCTGTTTTAGCTAATCAAACAAAAATACAGGACTGATTTCCCAAAAGTCCTCTTAAAGGTTCTTGTGCACCAACTCCGTAATTCACGTCCGAAATTTTCGCACATTACAAAAGAAATACAACAAATAAATGTTTAGTCAATCACGTTTACACACTGCCTATGAAACTTTCATCTGTTATAAAAATAAAAAAAAGTTTTTGAATCATTAGCAAGAATTTTGAATGGTGTTTTGACAATTCAGAGCCACCGAATGACGAATACGTAAAAACGCATACCAAAATTTCAGAATCAGTGTGCAAGGGACCTTGAAGGGATACTCCAACGTTTTTTTTCATATAAAACTATGTTATTTCCTTAACTAAGATGAGTTGATACACACCTCTGTCGTCTCAGTGCGTGCACTCAATCGCTCTGGCGCGAGACACTTTGATCGCACTTAACTAGCCCAGTTCATTCAATATGGGCCAAGCAGAGAAGCGACCAAACACCTCCATGTTTTCCCTATTTAAATACAGTTACATGAGCAGTGTAACTCGATCTAGGATGGTGACACAAAATAAAACGTTGCGCTTTTCTATGCGTGTAAAGTGGATAACTATATTGTATGGCGGAATACCACAGCAAGTGCTTGGGAGCACTTCGACTCGGCACAGTAATATCATCACTCGTGAAAAGTCCTCTCCCTCAACAGAGTGAAGATATTACTGCGCCGAGTTCATAGATATATGAACTTGCACTTGCTGTGGTATTCCGCCATACAATATAGTTATCTACTTTACACACTTAGAAAAGCACAGTGTTTTATTTTGTGTCACCATCCTAGGTCGAGTTACACTGCTCATGTAACTGTATTTAAATAGGGAAAACATGGAGGTGTTTGGTCGCTTCTCTGCTTGGCCCCTATTGAATGAACTGGGCTAGTTAAGTGCGATCAAAGTGTCTTGCGTGCCAGAGTGATTGAGTGTACGCACTGAGACGACAGAGGTGTGTATCAATTCCTCTTAGTTAAGGGAATAACATAGTTTAATATGAAAAAAAAGTCAGGCCACAGCTAAATACCTAAATACTGCAAACTGGGTACCAATAACTGTTCGCTGAATTATTCCAATTCACATGAAGTCAACTCTAACTGGAGCAAAATTATTTAGTGTGGAGTAAGATGTACCATGCAAAAAGTTACCTTTTCTTCTGTTCTTCACACGTGGCCCTTCCTGACTCAAAGACGTGGAGATGGAAGAGGCAGACAGAGATGGAGGAGAGACAGAGCGAGAATAGTGTGAAGAGGTAGAGGTGTTTTTACGTTTAATTTGTCGCAAAGATTTAGAGCATGGCAGTGAAAGTGGGGAAGAAAGTGAAGGAAGAATATATGTAGAAGTAGAAGAGGAAGTAGGAGAGAGAGAGGTTGGAGAGAGTGGGGAAGACAAAGGAACAAGGTTAAGAACAAATACAGTCTCCTCCACCGCCATTTGACCCTCCGCCGCCGCTTGATCCTCAGTCACCATTTGATCCTCTTCCGCCGCCTGACCCTCCACCACCTTTTGACTCTCGGCCGCCGCTTGACCCTCCACCGCCGCTTGACCCTCCACAGCCATTTGACCCCCCGCCGCTGCTTGACCCTCCGTCACCATTTGATCCTCCGCCGCCGCTTGATCCTCCGTCACCATTTGATCCTCTGCCGCCGCTTGACCCTCCGCAACCTTTTGACCCTCCGCCGCTTGATCCTCCGCCACCATTTGACCCTCCGCCGCCGCTTGATCCTCCGCCGCCACTTTATCCGACGCTTGGTCCTCCGCTGCCGCTCGACCCTCTGCCGCCGCTCGACCCTCTGCTGCTTGACTCTCCGGTTGCTGTGCTAAGGAGGTTGCTATAATACAAGTTTACTTTAATTTAAAACCTGAACATATTAACAAAGAAATATACATGTATCTTAAAATATTCATAATTGCTAAACCAAAATATTACTTACATTTTGTCAAGATAAATTCATAGGCCCTCCGCATTTTATCCAAAAGAGTTTTAGTGACAGGAGTGGGGTGCAGATGGGTAATTATATCTGCAACCCATTTATTTGAAGCCCTTTTGTCTGGCTTGCCAATAAATAATATTGGCTTGTACCCCACAGCTTCAAGTTTACTCACCTGAAATGAACAAAAGCAGTTATCACACATTAGTTAAACCCACTAAATTATTAGAAACTTTAGTACTATATAAAGCAATTTTATTTTAAAAACATTTGATGGAGTTGGAGTACAATGCAAGAAACATTACTCTTAAACTGTACAATCAATGGCCAGTTTCAGATAAGGCCAGAGGTACTCTGCAGTTTCTGTCATTGCAATCATGCCTTACTTAAAGGAGTAGTTCACTTTTAAAAAACTTTTTCTGATAATTTACTCACCCCCATGTCATCCAAGATGTCTGTCTTTCTTCAGTCGAAAAGAAATCAAGGTTTTTGATGAAAACATTCCAGGATTTTCTCCATATAATGGACTTCAATGGGAACCAAACAGTTCAAGGTCGAAAAGACACTTTCAGTGCAAACTGTTCAAAGGGCTTTAAACGACACCAGACGATGAATAAGGGTCTTATCTAGCGAAACTATTGGTCATTTAATAAATAAATAAAAAAGTTTAAGTTTTATAAGCTCAAATGGTCGCCTTGCTCTGGTCTGTGATGAGCGTTCGTGACTCTCCTGTTCGAACTCGTTCATCAAAATGAACGAATCTTTTTTCGAGTCATTTTTAGAAATGACCGATTGTTTCGCTTGATTTCGCTTGATTCATCGTCTGGAGTCGTTTAAAGCCCTTTGAACAGTTTGCACTGAAACTGTCATTTGGACCTTGAACCGTTTGGACCCCATTAAAGTCCATTATATGGAGAAAAATCCAGGAATGATTTAATCAAAAACCTTAATTTCTTTTTGACTGAATAAAGAAAGACATGGACATCTTGGATGACATAGGGGGTGAGTAAATTATCAGCAAAAATTTTTTTAAAAGTGAACTACTCCTTTAATACTTCACAGAGAACACAACTTATAGTTACGCTCTAGCACAATTTGTAGGTAAAAAAGGATTTTTCCATGTATGAAATAAGACTATGTTAGTAAAGGCCAGGTCACATTGGTATATATGTCTGACATGCAATGTGTGAAAAACACAAGCTTTCAGCTTCACTTCAGGTTACACTAACTTATGAAATATTAACACTTTTACTTACTGCAATACGGGCAGAATCAATTATACGCCCAGCATTTCTGCTTTTAAGCACAGATTCCCCCCACTGGCTATCCAGTGACACCACTTTTTCTTGGATTTTTTTTTTTGGTGGACAGGCTTGCAAAACAAACATTGCAAGTTTTCCTGTTTGCCTGATTGGGAGTCTGGCAAGAAGGGCAGGGCCTGAATTTGGGCCTTGTCATGACTTGACAACAAATATACACAAAAACAAACAACACAGAAAGAGAAAGAGAGAGAGAGAGAGAGAGAGAGAGAGAGAGAGAGAGAGAGAGAGAGAGAGAGAGAAAGAAACAGACAGACGTGGCTCTTAAAAGTGCCTTTATTGTGTGTTTCTGTGTGTGTATGTGTCGTGTGGGATAAAGAGCAGGCAAAATTGAAGGACCTGATGAGAGAGAAAAAAGCAAATCAGAATTGAACAGCTTAATTTTACAACAGTATTCTTCTATTTGCCAGATTGGATAGTTTTCCAGCCAATTTGTTGGTTTTAGGTCGCACTAAGTGTGATAAAAAGGGCATAAAAATTAATTTATATTATTTATTATACATTTGTTTGAGTGTTAATTATATAATTTTGCGTGGATTTTAAACAAATAGGCTGTAAAACAAACCAATCTGGCAACACCGTTCTTCATCTGAACATTTATAATGTTGAATAACAGTTGTGTGCTAATGTAATACTGAAAACCTTAAAATCCCCAACTAGTATTGCCTTACAAAATTATTTTATAGGATTATATGCAACAAAATTTGACAAAAACTTTAATTCAATTAACTTTGCTGGCCTGCACATTTGGTGCAGCATCAAGCTATATTTTCATATTGTCTCTTTCCATCATTTACTGTCAAAATAAATTGCCACCTTACACATCTAAAGGTTCTAAACACAACTTCTTGTCCTAATTCAAGAGTTTTTGATGTGTACATTTAAGAATAGTATCCATCTCTATTAATTAACTCTTCTACTTACCGAGTGGAAAATCGCAATGGACCTCGGGATCGCCCCATACAGTGACGTCAGCGTTATTAATTTAGATGATTTAAAAAAAAAATACAAATTTAAATTAAAAAACATTATAAATTTTATATAAAAATTATATATATATTTATTAACATAAACAAAACTCCGATAAAAATACGTTATCCTGCATGCTCTAAAGCACGTGTACATCATGGATGCCAGTAACGTTAACCTTCGACAAGAAAACGCTTAAACTGCTTACTTGCACACGCCGTGGAGCGTTGTTAAACTCACCGTTAAATGCCTTTCTACATACAGTTTAGCGTTGATTTGGTTAAACTCCCCTCTGAATGCCGCTTTACCTGCAGTTGAGTGTTGTTAAACTCACCGATGAATGGTTGTACAACACAATGAGCGTTGTTAAACTCACCGATGAATGCGGTTGCACATGAACTCGATAAACCTTTGCGGAGAGGGCACTTTGAAATCAGATTGTGAGGGTTTTTAAACATGTAGAAACAGTTGGATCACCACCACTATACTAGCCCTGGCATAGATCATTTATTGTAGCCTATTCATTTTTATTGCAGTCTCGACTCTCGACCCATTCGCAGCATACCATTGCGGTGAGCTTACCCAAGACGTCAAATTTCAACGCTACAGGCTCCGGTTGAGAGATCTATAGAAGTCTATCGGTCATCGGACTACCCTGCACGTTGAAAAATGACGACAAAGGTATACCCAGTGCGTCAAGAAATGACGCCAAGGGGTCCTGCCCAAGCGTCCATATGTGACGAGTTGGGGTTTGAGAATGTGTTGATCATTCGCGCCGGGCGTCGCGAATTGGGTGACTCGTTTGCCGCGAACGTCTCTCTCAGTAGAAAATTTTGAACTTGAGCGGGCTGCAGAAGATTCAAGCGTCTAACTAGACTTGACGTGTTTGACGCGTTCGGTGTGACCAATTCGGACTGCGCTCTCTCTCCCCCACGGATAGATTATAGGCCTACTTTATTAGCGAGTTGTTTTTGGATAAAACTAATACTTTGCATACTTACAAATTCCCATGTTCTCTATCTCTATTGTCCATAGGCCTACATGGATCGCGGGAAAGGGAGCCTTGGGCGCGGGTTAGCCTACTTTTGGTAACGTTAACATACAAATATTAAATTCGAAAGCACATTGCCAGCTCCGTGTGTGCACGATTTATCATTAAATAATGGCAATCTTGATTCTAGCACAATATTATTCCTAAATGACAGCGTTAATTCAGTAAATTAAACCTTCAAAATTATTATCAAAATAAGTAAATACCCTTTAAACAAAACTTTAGCTTCAAATAAAGATTGTAGATCTTTACTGTTTTCCAGTAGTTACTGCTAAAATGTTTTTGAAGAGATTCGTTCATAACCTCTGGAGGAAAGTCATTAATTAACTTCTGTTTTGTTTAAATTAATAGATATTATTTAATAGACTATTTTTTATATTTATAGGCATTTAATAATGGACTAATTTGTTGCATTTAATTGTTTTTTTTATTGTTTTTTGAAAAAAATAATATATATATATATATATATATATATATAATTATATATATAGACACACACACACACACACACACACTAAGATTTTTTAATATTTTTAAAAGAAGTCTCTTCTGCCCACCAAGCCTTCATTTCTTTGATCCAAGAAAAACTGTAATATTGTGACTATATTATTATTATTATTTTAACAACTATTTTCTATTTGAATATATTTTAAGATGCAATTTAAATAAATAATAAAGTGAAATGCTTTATTGTGTGTGATTTGCATGTTATTTATTTTAAGACATGTAAGCTGAAGATCTAAACTAAGTTAAAATGGTTGGTTCAACTGATTTAATTGTCTTATTTTATATATATAAATGAGCTTAAATTTTAAGTTAACAGAACTAAGATTTATGTTGATCTCACATGGCCTGCACTGTGTTGGATTTACTTAAAAGATATGTGCACATTTTTTGATACAAAAATGGTGCATATATATTTTAAGTAAATCCAACTCATCATTTTTTAGAGTGTGGACAATATGAAACTAAAACGACATAAGCTTAATTTAAAATGTCTTAGGAACTACTGGATATTTAGAGGTGAATAAACGTAATTGAAAGGTGGATAAACGCACTTTGGAGGTGCAAACGCAATTCCCGAATATTGGGAGGTGGGTAAATGGCATTTACGTGCATTTAGCCTCCACTACATCCCTGGGTATGACATCACAGTACTGATTCGAAAATATACAGTGATCAACTAAGCAGCACTACAGAGTACAGACGATTGGTGTATGACATCACAGTACTGATTCGAAAGCAAACAGTATGATCTTGAAGCAGCACTGTACAGAGTACATACGATTGGTGTATGACATCACAGTACTGATTTGAAAGCATACATGATCTTGAAGCAGCACTGTACAGAGTACAGACGATTGGTGTATGACATCACAGTACTGATTTGAAAGCATACAGTATGATCTTGAAGCAGCACTGTACAGAGTACAGACGATTGGTGTATGACATCACAGTACTGATTCGAAAGCAAACAGCATAATCTTGAAGCAGCACTGTACAGAGTACAGACGATTGGTGTATGACATCACAGTACTGTTTCGAAAGCATGTATGATCTTGAAGCAGCCGAACAACCAATACTTATAAAAGTAATTGGATCAAACATAAAAAATTAAGTATTCCTAACTTTTCAACATTTACTTAACATATGTGTGTAACAAAAAAATATAAGCTACTAGGTGCACTTAAATGTATGCATAAATAAAATAATAAAAAAAAACATAATGCATGTCAACTACTACAATAATTGCATCAAAATTAAGTAAATCGATTATATCAGTTTAAGTAACTGTATGAGCCACGTGATATAGGCTATGCAATTTCCCGTGATGCCTATCCAGACAAAAAAAATATGAAACATGTGAAGACGTTGAGAAGCGGTAAGCTTATTTTTTGTACTTAGGCCTACACATGATCATTTATTGCATTTTTGGTCAAGAAATTTACTTTTAACTGAATTTCAGAATTGCTACAAATTTTGCATCAACAATTAGAAACGTTTCTTACGAATGCAAACATTTGTAGTCTACATGTTAACGAATGAAATAAGTGTTTTGCACGCGAGTAGCTATATATTGTGTTTTTTCAAAATATATGACCATGATGTTGGCTCGTATATGCATTAATGGTGTGTTTACACCGAACGCGAATTTAATTGCGATAGCAGAGTACATTCATAGTCAATGCAAAGACGCGAAGACGCATCATTCGCGCCGGGCGTCGCGAATTGGGTGACTCGTTTGCCGCGAACGTCTCTCTCAGTAGAAAATTTTGAACTTGAGCGGGCTGCAGAAGATTCAAGCGTCTAACTAGACTTGACGTGTTTGACGCGTTCGGTGTGACCAGTTCGGACTGCGCTCTCTCTCCCCCACGGATAGATTATAGGCCTACTTTATTAGCGAGTTGTTTTTGGATAAAACTAATGTACTTTGCATACTTACAAATTCCCATGTTCTCTATCTCTATTGTCTATAGGCCTACATGGATCGCGGGAAAGGGAGCATTGGGCGCGGGTTAGCCTACTTTTGGTAACGTTAACATACAAATATTAAATTCGAAAGCACATTGCCTACAGCTCCGTGTGTGCACGATTTATCATTAAATAATGGCAATCTTGATTCTAGCACAATATTATTCCTAAATGACAGCGTTAATTCAGTAAATTAAACCTTCAAAATTATTATCAAAATAAGTAAATACCCTTTAAACAAAACTTTAGCTTCAAATAAAGATTGTAGATCTTTACTGTTTTCCAGTAGTTACTGCTAAAATGTTTTTGAAGAGATTCGTTCATAACCTCTGGAGGAAAGTCATTAATTAACTTCTGTTTTGTTTAAATTAATAGATATTGTCACCGCCCCGGGATGGTCCGACCCACACCCGGACGGACCTACACCCCACCGCGAGGAGCCGACACCACAAGGACACCAATGAACGGACAAAGAGACCAATGAGCAGATTAAGAGGGAAGTTTTATTTATTTTAAAAGTTCAAGAATGTTGAGCAGATGGTTTCGTCGTGTAGGCCTGGACAGGATTGGAGACCACTGGAATCCGTACTCTATTCCCACAAGGAAGATCTTCGTCGACGTGACTGCTCTGTAAAGCTCAGGCAGAGAGAATGGAGCTCGGTTACTCAGCGGCGTGTACACAGCGTGTCTGCTTCTCCGTGGGGCTCAGGCAGAAAGAATGAAGAAGTCGGGG